AGTTTCTTGAGAAGTAATTAATGAGTAATAAAAAATAATGAGAAGTTTGTTTTAAGACTAATTTCGAGTATTAACAATGAAAACGTGGTATTTTTATTGTTAATTTATTGCAGAATCGTAAGCATGGGTTCTCAGTAAGAGAAATCGAAGAAATTGAATTTCGTCGATTACAGCGCCATCTATCATGAATCGAGAAAAATGTTTCAGACAAATTGTATGTGTTTTTAGCCAAAGATTCCGAATATGCAATAAAAAATAGGGATTCCCATTTAAGATTTCAAACTTGCCCCCCTCACCGCCCAGGGGGAGGGGTGGGGGGGGCTAATTTTAACGTCATTGTACGTCCCCCTCGAAATGACGAAATTTTCATTCTAAACATTTTTTCGTAGTGTGCTTATTTTTCGAGTTATTTGGCTGCCTAAGTTAAAATGGGTTACCCTGTATACAATATTGTACATATGTATAATATATTCTCACAGATAGCCAAACCTGCCAATAGCACATATCGCAAATGTGTATTCACATATTATATTAGCAGATCTCTGATATAACAGCCGAACATAGTCTGTGTAATGTATCTTGATAGGGTTTATCAGGAATAACTCAACAATAATACTATTGTAATATGCACGCTTTAATAATAATAAATCTCAGGAGCGAGGAGAACAACGAACGCCCGTGGCTAGCGTCCATTACACACACCCAAAGAATACAACGGACAAGGAATGCGCACGCATAACCAATGAACATTAAGGATAAATGATAGCAGCGCTCGCGTACAAAAATAACATGAACATATATTACACTCCTCCTCACTTAAATTAAGGAAATAAACATTTCCGCTTACAAGTCTAAAACCTTCCTAGGTTTCGGTACACGACTTGAACGTCGTAGTCCTTCCACTGGAGTATCTAAAACACTAGATTTAACTAACACCTTTTTGCCTGGTGTAAGAACACTCTTTCTATGTTCTTCCAAAACCTTGGAGTCAATATTACAATAAACATAATATCTTAACATAAAGTATCACTTACATTAGGATTAATCGAATTCTTTCGAATCGAAATAACGAAATCGCTAGGTCGCGCTGAGTCTTCGCACGCTTGTGACTCAGGTAATTGCAAATTACAAGCTCGCAATTGATCGGTATGACGTCTCCATATCCGTCCGTCATCTGTTTTAACATTATAGGAAACCGGATTAGTTTGCTCCACGATTTCCGCTTGTCTCCACGACCTTGTTTTGAAATCCTTAGCCATTACGGAGTCATTTTCTCCGAACGTAACTGTACGGTTGCCCTTGAAGAATCGTTGCTGATCCCTCTGCTTTGACTCTATTCTATTTCTAATATCGGGTTTAATAATATCTAATCTGGTTCGCAAACGCCTATTTAACTGTAACTCTGCTGGTGACTTTTCGGTAGTACAATGAGGTGTCACTCTATAGTGAAACAAATATTTACATAACTCATCCTGTCTCGTATAGTCTTTAAGTAACAATTTAAACTTTCTTTTAAACGTACGTACAGCGTTCTCGGCCGTTCCGTTAGACGCAGGATGATATGGTACTGTTTTAGTATGCTTAATAGCATTCCGCGATACGAATTCTTTAAACTGTTCGCTCGCAAACGCAGGACCATTATCCGAAACGATCTGATATGGCACTCCCCATGTACTGGTATATTCTTTCACCGCTCTAATTGTAGATTCCGCTGAGATATCTTTCATCTCTTTAATATCTATCCATTTTGAATAAGCGTCTGTTATAACTAAATACATATGGCCCCCAATTGGTCCACAAAAATCTAAATGTATACGATGGTTTGGCCCTTGAGGCCACTTCCAAACATGCAATGTACTTTTAGGAGGATCATCGGCGCTCTCTAAGCACCCTTTACAACTTTTAATGATCTCCTCTATATCCTTATCTAGACCTGGCCACCAAAAATACGATCGAGCTAACGCCTTCATTTTAACTACCCCTAAATGAATTCCATGCAACTTCTCAAGCAATTCCGCTCTTAAGGACGGGGGAATAACAACGCGATAACCCCACATTATACATCCATTCTCCACCGATAACTCTAAACGACGACTCCAAAAAGGTTCAAAACATTTTTCCACTTTATCAGGCCATCCCTGCATAACAAAATTCCTGACTTTACTCAAGAGAGCATCTTTGCTAATTCCCTTACGAACCGCCTTACTATCCAAATTTTGCAATTCTTCACTTATTGCCTTTAAATAATTATGAACCTGTAAATCTTTTGACTCAGTCGCTTGACTAGTATCCTTCATACTAACCCTCGATAAACCATCGGCAGGACCGTTATCTTGACCTTTAATGTACTTAATTGTAAAATCATAACCTGCTAAAATCACTGCCCATCTTTGTACTCGACTAGCCGCCATCTGTGGAATACCTTTCTTCGGACCAAAAATATATGTAAGCGGTTTATGATCTGTTTCCAAAATAAAATTACGTCCATAGACATACTGATGAAATGCTTTTACTCCGAAAACAAGAGCTAATGCTTCTCTATCCAACTGCGAATAGTTTCTTTGAGCTACTGACAAAACCCTTGATGCATAAGCTATCGGCCTATCCGATCCATCTGGGAGAATATGCGACACTACCGCCCCCAAACCAACAGGAGACGCATCGCACGTAATTTTCAGAGGATAATCTGAACTATAATGTATCAAAATCTCCCTAGATGCTAAACGCTCCTTTGCCTTTTTAAAAGCTAACTCTTGTTCCTTTGCCCAACACCATTTCTTATCTTTCCTAAGAAGTTTATACAATGGGCTCAACAAATCAGAATAATCCTTAATGAACTTCGAGTAATAATTAATCATACCCAGAAATGACTTAAGTTCTGTCAAATTATCAGGTTTTTTTCATATTCACTATTGCGTCAACCTTTTTACTCGACGCCTGTATGCCCTGTGCATTTAACTCGAATCCTAAAAATTCTATATTACTTTGTGCAAACGCACACTTGTCTTTACTTAGCGTTAAACCACAATTTTGTAACCTTTTCAAGACACACGTTAAATTTCTATCGTGCTCTTCACGAGTAGCTCCTGTAACTACTAAATCGTCGAAGAAAATAGCCACTTTATCCAAATCCTGAAAAATTATATCCATTTCACGCTGGAATAACCCTGGTGCTGACGCTACACCATAACTTAAACGATTACTTTTAAATAACCCCTTATGAGTTGTTATTGTGACAAGTAACTTTGATTCCTCATCCAACTCTACTTGTTGATAAGCCTGAGCTAAATCCAACTTGGTAAATACCGTACCTCCACTTAGCTTTGTAAGCAAATCCGATACTCTCAGAATAGGATGTTTATCCACTAATAAATGAGGATTTAACGTAACCTTATAATCTCCGCATAAGCGAATCTGACCATTAACTTTTGGCACTGGCACAATCGGTGTTGCCCAATCACTATATTCAACTGCTTCTAAAATACCATCTTTAACTAAACGATCAATTTCATTTTCAATTTTCGCCCTTAACGCGAAAGGTACCGGCCTTGGTTTACAAAATACCGAACTAACCCCTTCTTTGAGATGCAATTTAAATTTCTTTTTCGTATAACATCCAATTTCATTAGAAAAAAGTGACTCAAATCTTTTACAAATATCATTTTGTTTTTCATTAGCTGTCCTGACTGACAATTTTTCAGATGCCACATCAAATTGAATAATATCTAAGGCCTTAAGCCAATTACGACCAACAATAGGTGCGCTTTTACCTGGTAAGACAAACAATTCAAGAACCTTGCTTCTATTTTGAAAAGTTACCTTAACCTTCAATATGCCTAGAGGAACTATTGGATTACCTGTATAAGCCTTAAAAGTTTGCGAACTTCCCAACACTACCGCATTCTCAAACGGTCTAAGTCTATCGAAATCTTTCTTCGAAATTGCCGAAATCGGTGATCCTGTATCTATTTCAAACGACAAAAACTTATTACCAACCTCCAGGTTAACTTTTAATGGTTCGATACAACCAATTATATTATTCACGTTACCCTTATTACCATATAAATTATTTAGACTATCATTACTGTCTTTCGATTCTTTAACATTATTCGGATTCACAATTTAACATTACCATTCGCGCGACTTTGTTTTCGTGATTTACCCTTCACGCCTTTGTTTGAAGCCTTAACCTTACAAACTGACTCTAAATGTCCTTTCTTCCCGCACGAATTACAAGAATACCCTTTAAAATGACACTCTTTTACCATGTGACCTTTCTTCCCACAACAAAAACATGTAACCGTCTGCAAAACCTTTTTCTGCTTATTGATAACATTGAGTGCGTTGCCTGTGCTGTTCACTGAATTAGCCATGTCTGCCGCATCTCGTTCGGCCATCTCCATACTAGTGCTGATTTCCACTGCTCTGGTATACGTTAACTGTTGCTCAGCCAGAAGCCTCTTCTTGATCCTCTCACTGGCCAGACCCCATACGAACTGGTCCCGGATGCAATTTTCCAGCTGCTCTTCAAAGTGACAATGCGTGGAAAGCTTCTTAAGCTTTGCGAGATACGTCTTGATGTCCTCGCCTGTTAGCTGCTTACATTCTTTGAATTTGTAACGCTGTGCTATCGTACTTGGTTGTGGCTGCAGATGATTCCGCATAATTTCCGCGAGACGTTCAATTGTGAGATTTGCCGGCCTTTCCGGCATGCACAAATTACAAAGAAATTCATAACCTTCGCTTCCCAATAACGTAAGGAAAAGCGGTACTTGTTTCTCACTCGGTACTTCGTTACCGGTAAAGTAGAGCACTACCCGCTCGAACCATCTCGTCCAATCTTCTTTCAAAGAAAACTCGGAAATATTACCAACTGTACCTCTAACAATGGTGTGAATAACTTGTGGCTCTTCTTTTTTTGATGCTGCCATAAGTTCTGCTCTTGCTTGAGCTAATTGCTGACTTTCCATAACCAATAAGCTTCTCTGATGTTCCTGCTGCTTAGCCCTTTCCGCTAAGGCTTTCTCCCGTTCCTCGAGATTCTTTTGAAATTTCAATAAGTCCGTTGTCGACATTTTGTTTCTCAACGGTGTCCTTTAGATTTGCGCGCCTTCCTTAACCTCGTTTACCTTGCGTCCCTGTGATCGCACGTTTAAACTTGATAACGCTGCGTCCCTATGATCGCACGTAAATTTAATCTTGTTTGAATGAGTCCCTATGACTGCGCGTTCTTTGTTCAATGCTTATTCCACACACATCGGAACCTTCTTTCTCGATGACTCTTAGGCCCTTTGCCGAAAACTGATTTTACCTCGTCGCCAATGTAATGTATCTTGATAGGGTTTATCAGGAATAACTCAACAAGAATACTATTGTAATATGCACGCTTTAATAATAATAAATCTCAGGAGCGAGGAGAACAACGAACGCCCGTGGCTAGCGTCCATTACACACACCCAAAGAACACAACGGACAAGGAATGCGCACGCATAATCAATGAACATTAAGGATAAACGATAGCAGCGCTCGCGTACAAAAATAACATGAACATATATTACAATCTGCTATTTCTACTAATCCTAATAAAAATGTATCAGAAAATAAATAGGCCTTGGATCATGTTTCTGCTATTACATTATGATGGTAAATGTTTCGATTAGGGGACCCCCCTCCAATGACTTTGACTTTGACATATGTTGTCAAGGTCATGACCCTGAGTAACTTTGCCTTAACAACTAGCCGTCGCTCGCCCTTCGTTAAAAAGTTATTAACAATTATAGTTTTAAAATAGTAAATGTCTCAATCAGGGGACCTCCCTCCAATGACTTTGATCTTGACATATGTTGTCAAAGTCATGACCCTGAGTAACTCTCAACAGTTTTTAGCTGTCACTCGTCCTTCGTTAAAAAGTTATTAACAATCATAGTTGTAACGTATGCTATACATGTATGATATGAAGTCTGTTCTACACCTTTCCCTGTTTAGAAACGTTGAATTTTCCATGCGAAGTAACTTTCACCCCCCCCCCCCCCCCCCC